GGGTGGAGAACTCCTGTACTTGGTTGAATGTTATTTGCTTGCCTTAAGTTGTCTGAAGTTCTCTGTTAAAGTAATTTCTTTATTAGCTTCAAAATTATTTCTGTTTTATTTTGCTGTTTTTATCAAAATGTTCAGTTTTTTTAAAAATATTTTTCATTCTACAACTGCTAGCAACATGTATCCGAAAAATATATATTGTGATAAAAAAAAAAAAAAAAAATGAAATACAAAACTATTTTTTATGTTAATAATATCAATTGGTTATTGAACTTCATGTATATTACCTATTTTTTTTCTTTCTTTTTTAATATTTTGTTGTCATATGCAATGTTTTTTTAACCCTTTGCCTGTCCAGAGGATTTTCGTGTGTACTATCCAAATGTTCATGTGTGTCTTTAGGTTTGAAACTACTGCAAGGCAACTCGGGTTATTTGGCAAATAGTATGTACTTACATATAATGTTTCACATAATAAAAACCTGTGTGTCACATGTGATGCACAGAATGTACAAATCATAAGTTATTTACACTATGCTCTGTGCATCACATGTGATGCACAGGTTTTTATTATGTGAAACATATATAAGTACATACTATTTGCCAAATAAACTGAATTGCCTTGCAGTAGTTTTAAATCTGAAAAGTGTCCTGTGGTAATATATGATGCACAAAATATTAGATTAGGCCTTTCCTTAGACGTCCTGCTCAATAGTAGACTAAGCATCCTTAGTTTTAGCACTTTTCTAAAATCATGGTTTGTGTGCACCCCATATGATGCAATGACGTTGAAATCAGATGCTCTGTGCATCACATATGATACGCAGGACATGCAACGAGTTAAAGTACAGAGGAAGCAATTTATTATAAGTTTGGATAATGTTATCAGTCATTTATTATCATCAATATCAGGCAGTCCCAAAACACTTTATTTTAAATGAATTTAAAACAATAATTTCATGTAAGTTTATTTGTAAAACATTTAATGACATAATGAATGTAAAGTGTTTCAATTTTATTTCCTTTGCTGGTTATTATCTAAAAAAAAAAATGTAACCATAAAAAGCAACTTTCTCTGTACAAGTAAGTAGTCTTCAACCACACTGAAGTAAAAAAATACCTAGAGATATTATATAAATTACAAAAAATAAAGAATTATAAAAACAAAAATTATATTAATTATGTGATATAAATTATATAATTAAAAAAAAACTCTGCAAATAGAAATCAACACTGCATGATTACCAGTAATGTTTTGTGCCTGATATAATCATCAGGCCATATGTTACTCCTTAGACAAATAGGAGTAACATTGTTTATATGTACATATACTATATCCTTGATCTTGACCACTTTTATATATATATATATATATATATATATATATATATATATATATATATACACTCACGCACACATAAATAATTAAACATAACAAACATTTTATGTCAATTATTTTTACTGATCAACTTTTCCAAATTATGAATAATCAGACATGGAGGGAATTTCATCAGAAATTATCCAAAGTTCATTTCAGAAGAAATATGGTCCAAGCTTTTGACTTTAAGTGTTGTGACATGGCAAGTGTGTGTGTATGTTTTTTTTTTATTATTTTTTAATTTTTATTTATTTTTTATATATCCTTGAGGATCTGAACTCTTATAATTGTTTTTGTTGTACGAATATTTCTTCAAGAATCATGTCTGTTTTTACTATATGGTTTGACTAGTATTTTGGGGATGCTTGTGAGTAATGATCCTTATGTAGTTTATTTTTTGACAGAAAATGTCTGTTGTCTTAAATAATATTTGCTTTAAAGAACATTTGCTGCCTGAATACAATATATATATATATATATATATATATAACACATGAAGGGTTGTTGAAATGTTCGGCTCAATCTATTTTCCAAAAGTGATGGTCAGAAGTATTAGAACCAGAGAACTGTGGACAATTTTTTTGATCCAGCTTTTACAGCAACTCATACTCTGATTTAAACATCTTATCAAATTCAGTAAAACAATGTTTAAATGAAATATATCTTAAGTGTGTGTGTGTGTGTATGAAAACGCATAATTAGAAAAGAAAGTCCATCTATGCTTCTTACAGAATGTAGGCATATTAGACCATTGAAGAAAATTCCAAAAAATAAATAATATTTTTTGCATATTATTATTATTATCATTATGAGGCCAATAGAAAAAAAAATTGAAACATAATGAGATAAAATGTTAAAAATCAGACATGTCTGAATCTTTTTGTAATGGGGGGGTGGGGGAATCCAAAATAATCACGTGCATACAGTGTGTGCTTGGAAACTGAACTTTTAAAGACATTCATTAGAAAAAAAAAATCAGTATATTTTTAAAAAAAATACTTGTACACATGTTTAGCTTAGAAAAACCCTAAATTCATTAAAACTGTCCTTGGAATCTGACATTCTTTATTTCAGGCCAACTTCTGGTACAACTGAGGGCCAAAACTGGAGGCCTATTTCAAATCTTGTTGTTCCACTGAAAGCAACAGTTTTTAATTTTAGTTTGGGTTTGTGGTAGCTGGCTGTTGTAGCCAGCTTAAGAAATTCAAGGAAAAAATAAAAAGTACAGATTAAAAGCGTAATTAACTTGGTTTGAAAAATGATTTCTCTTCATCTTGGTATACTTCTTCTTTTCTGAATATATAACTTTAAAGTGTTTCGTAACTGTCACCTCCAAACCTATTAGCATTAGTGTACAAAATGTTATGCATTTTAATGTTTAATTTATTTAATGATCAAAAACCTTATTGGAACTATAAATTCTGGAACAAAAATGACAAACCAGATTAAATATGGAAGTAACTTGTGTCATTTCTAAGCAATAAAATAAATAACTATTATTACATTTAACTGTTTTGTCATGAATATACATTTTATGATTAGAGAACTACCTCAAAAAAAAAATTGGCTCTTAAAAATATGTGCTTTAGCAGAAGGATTTACTTTTCATACATCTTGTTTATCATTTTTTAAAAATAGATTAAAATTTATTGAATTGTCACACTAACATTACATAACATTCTTAAATCATTTTTCATTATTTTTGGGGTATAAAAATTTTACATTTGCTCCAGTTTAATGTTTATTTTTTAAAATTCTAAATGAAACTAAAATTCAACATCTTTTTTTCAAATACTTTTTTTTTTTTAGAAAGGAAAACACAAATTACACATAAAATTTTTTTTCATATTTTTATAACAGTATCATAGAGAAAAAATATTAAACTTATAACAATAGCATTTTTAAATAAATTTTGCAAGGAAAATTTTTCAGTAGAATTTAAAAAAAAAATTAAACATAAAACATTAAAATCATCTTGAGATTTTGTAACATTTGCAAAAAGAAAAACTAGAAAAAAAAACAGCTAAAAATAAATCTTATATTAAATACACTAAAGTTATTCCAAGCATAAAAATCAATTTCTTAAGCTGACTACAACAGTAAATTATCACAAACCCAAGCCTAAACTAAAAACCATCACTCCCTGTGGAATGATGAGATTTGAAATGGGCCTCCAGTTCTGGCCCTCAGTTGCTCTATGAGTTGGCCTGATGTAAAGAATGCCATGCCTTGGAAGCAACTGAATTCTTGAATCTAATGGTTCTCATTCATGTTGGTTGTCATGTCTACAAGTTCAATTCGACAATGCCTCACATGTGCTAGTTCAGAGGACTTTAATGGGAGCTAGAAGGTGACATGATTGAAAATTCTCAACTAGCCACTTCTGGGTCATGTGGCAAGAACAATCATGCTGGAACAAGTACGACCACCCTCTAGGTCCAACTTATTCACCCTGAAGGTAGAATGAAATGATCCTCATTGCTTAGGAATATAAGATGATATATTCATAACCATAAGTATCTCAGTGAAGTGTGAAAGATATGAATCTTATCTCCTTCTCCTAGCATTTTTTTTCTTACAATAATGGTCACTGTGTAAAAGACCCAAGAGCCACTTGAGGTAGTGTGTTGCAGAGTAAGAGATAATGCCCATAGTTTATGATATGTGTAAAAGATAATGGTTAACCATAGACTTGAACAGGTTAGGATTGTAGTTGGTCAGGGAAGTATCCTCTTGGGAGTCAGTTCCACAAAATAGGTATTCAAGAGCAATTTAGCATCTCACTAATGGGATACGAAGGAAATAAAGGTGGTTCACTACAATGTGTATGGGCATGGCAGGTCTTAACCGTGGAGCGTTAGAACTGGTGAAAAATTAAGAAATGTAATTTGTCTTAACACTTTCCATAGAAATAGTGGCAGAGCAGCAAGAGGCTTGCAGCGTATCATCTGGGGGGGGCCAATTACCTGTAAGTCTGCAGAGATGCTTTTGGACTTGATCAAGACTGGAAATTGAAGACTGGGCTGTGGTACTCCATTTTCTGCCTGATCTGGCTCTTGCAAAGATGGAGGATAGCAGGCGGGGGGGAGTCTGGTACAGGCAACCAACTATTTTTACAGCATAGAAAGTCTTGTATCCTGAAAAATGATTATTCTCAAAAATTGTTAATGTAATATTCATTTATAAATAAAAGGATTCTTACAATCCAAAATATGTTTCAGCTTTAAATAACCTAAAAAAAGTTGATAAATCATTAAAAAAAAAAAAAAAAAAGAAGAAAAAGAAATCGGTCAACTCTGTGAAACTGTGCTGAACCACATGTTATTTCTGCAGTTCACCTTTTAAGAAGCTGGCTATCCGAGTTTTTTGCTTTGTATGGCTTGTGCCATAAGACATGACATGACTTTCAATTCCTTTATCAGATTGAAAGCAAACATGTTAATTTGCTTGCACATGCCATATAACATGACATTAGGTTGTACTTTATTTATCACTCCCACCCAACTTCAGGTAGATCTTGTGACCTGTTGGTCTAGAAGCATCTCCACATAACGAGGTCTTTTGTTTGTATAAGTTTGTGAGTTTGTATCCATCATCAGCTTGCTAGGCCTGTTGCTTAGCTTATGGCACCTAGTATTATTCCCCAGTGGTCACTCATCTAATTACTGACCAGGCTCACCATTGCTTAACTTTGGTGATCGGACAAGAACTGGTGTTTCAATGTGATGTGGCTATAAGCCAAAGGGATACCTATAAGTATCCCTTTGCTATAAGTGCTTTTAGTCATAGTCTTCTTAAAAATGTTCTCAATTACTTAGCTCACACTGTCTGTGATATTATGATTATTGTGTGTGTGCACACACAACATTTTCCTATATCACGAGAAGAGTCCACTGATAACAGATATCATACTTATTTAATTCAGGAATATTGTAACATTTTAAGTTTATAAAAATCTTACTATATAATTGTTTATTTGCATATATTTTTTCTGTAATGTCAAATGGTATGGTCTTTGCTATGACAATGATGGCCTGTTTGAATGAATTATACAAAGGATCCTGTCTACAGAAAAATACTGGCAAGCAGATCATATGACATTGGTGTATGGATTTGCAAATGGCTATATGATTGGGGATTAAAAAAAAAAAAAAAAATTCAGACATTCACATGTAAGAATTTTATAAAATATGGCATAATTTTTGGAGTTGGGTAAACTCATAAATTAATATTAACTAGTCTCTGTAAAGATTGATAATGAATGTAAAATTTTACTGTTTCGGTGGTATGTTATCGGCATGCTAGGGACATGACATTTGCTGATGTGATAGAGCAGAATTTTAGAATTATGTGACTTTGAACAACTTTAGCTGTAATTTGAACTCTGATGGCTGGTTCTATTTTCATGACCATCATGCTAAACAGCAACCCAAAATCTATACACTCATTTGGCTTGTTTGCATAAGCTATATATGACCATTACACTTCTCTATTTTGGATCAGAGTGTAATCTGTTAGTTTGCTGCCCTTTCTGAGTTGGAATGAATTAAGCTAACTGAAGAACCTGCATAATAAAGGAATTTGGTGTAGTGTCAGAGACAAAGGGGTAGGAAACTTGGGGGAATGGTTGGTGGTGAGAAAGAAAAAAATCAAATCAAATAAAAGAAAACAAATATATTTAGCAAAGGAAGAGGTGGAAACAAAAAACAGGCTTGTTTGCTAGGCATGAAGTGGTAAGTGAAAGATTGAAAGGCAAATATAGAAAGACATAAAAATTATGATGGAATAAAATTCTTTTTGGAACAATAAAGTGAAAACTAAGATGAAAAGACAAGACCAAAATTACATACGTTCCTTGTTCTTTATCTTCATATGACTCGAATTGATGTTTGCATTTAAAGTAAAAAAAAAAAAAAAGTGTGGACATGCATCAAAGATTAAAAAAGATAAGGGGAACATTCAGAAGTAGTTTGAGAGATGGACAAAAGCATGAGATTATCATTCATCTTGGTTACCAGAAACAATAGAATTTTCCCAAGTCAATCTAGTTAATAATAAATATTGCTGTACTATTGAACATTAGTAGCTCTGTCAGTGCCAACCTTTTTTTTTGCTTTCCGTCATTGTGGCTGATGTTAACCTCCAGGAGAGTGATTTCTTGTGCCTTCTTTGGCTAATGTTTTTCACAAACATGAAGTGGAAAGAACCAATTTTCTTAGCAGCAAACCTAGCAATTTATTTAATATAATATTAAATAAATTGCTAGGTTTGATGCTAAGAAAATTGGTTCTGTGTTGCAATAGACAATTTTTCCTGCCAGAATCTATATTACACATTTATAACTTTACCATCCATGCATTAAATATTACTGCCACATCTGGTTTGGTGCTTCTGCTATGTATTTAGAGATTCTTGATTAAATACAAAGAATATGCAATGTTATTGATCCTGACTTGGCATCTTGGTGTCAATCACCTTTGCATTGCCATAATGTAACTTCCCTGTGACTTCTCTATAAATATTTTCATAGTAATTGTTCTGTTGATCTTTCCTCTATGGTACCCTAGATTTTATGAATTAAATCACAGTGCTATATTGGCAGATAGGTCTCTTCTAGTTTGCTTTCCAGTAAACTTTGATTTCCAGAGATTTAAATGCAATGTCAGTTGTTATGTTCAGTCTTTTTAATTTCTGATCTTTTGTTTTCTCTCTCATATATTTTCTCATCCTCAGTAACCTTATACATCTTAGTGGCTTTATTGCTTTGCTTGGGGTGAAATGATTAAAAACAAAAAATCAATCTGTACTTGAGTTTAATTTAGCAGATTGATAAGTAAAAGAGTAATTATTATTCCTGCTAGAAATTCCTCATAGAAATTGTACTAAATGTAACATGTTTTCATACAGATTGGAAGGTTCAAATTCGGATTCCGTTGAATGAAAATCCAAGTTTTTATATTGATAATCGAGAAATTGAAAAAATAAATTTTTATTTCTATGAGTTTCAAATCCATTCTATTAAATTTTGACTAGGTTTAACTTCATTTTGCTGTTTGGCCAAATCTGTAAAAGTCCTATACATGTTAAACAGACGGCCAAAGATACGGGTATTTTAAGTAGCAACTTTATTTCTCTTCCATTCTGCTTGTTTAATTGGTGTAGAATGTAATAAAATGACCTAATAATATATAAGAAAAACAAAAAAACAAGCTGACTTTTTAGTGGGTGCTGGAAAATTCCAAGCTTATCCCACTCACGAAAATCTGATGAAATGGCCAAATATCAGTTGCTTTATTTTAGTTTTTATTAATGTGTTATTTGATTGGGCCGGTATCTTTTCAGTATCCCCTAATAAGATGAAAGCTAAAATAGTCAAAAAATTTAGCATTGTTTAAACTGCTCATCAATTTTATGTTGGGTAACTTTGAACCATATCAAATTTTTGTTTTGTGTATGTGTACGTGTGCACGAACATTGAAGATTTTAATATTTTTTTCAGTTACTTATCTTTCATTTTTGAAGTGTTTATGGCCATCTTAATGCCATATTCCAGTGCCTTTCATCCAACTAATAGTTAAATTGCAATCAAAATGAAATTAGTGGGGCCTATTCAGCCTGTATTAGAATGAAAGAAATTGATTCAAATTTTCAATTTCAGAACAAAATTAAGTTACTTGAAAATCTTTTAAACTGTTTTCAATGTTATGAGAATTTCCAAAGAAAAGCATTTATTCAACCAATTTATTTCATTTGTACAATTTATACAAATATTTTTTTGTTTCACTTTTTGTTACTTTGATCTTAACATCATGTATGTAAAGCTTGTGATTGATAAGTGTTTGTATAAACTATTATCAACTATTTATGTTCATTTAGATAGGCCGAGCCAAATATCTGCTACACTCTGGTCTATTGAAACTCCCCATGGTCACATCAAAGTTACCATGATCACCTTGTGTGTGTAATTTAACATCAAACTGATTGTTAGGCATGTTGTGTGTGTGTGTGTGTGTGTATATATATATATATATATATATATATATATATATACACATACACATACACACACACAGACACATTGTTTCATCCTATATAATCTTGTGTGAACAGATTATTTTTAATACGTCTTCTGAGGTCTACTTATTTACAAGCTGTGTGTGTGTTTATATATATATATATATATATATATATGGTTGGATTGATGTGAGTTTGTGACCCTGGGTTTCACGCTCTTGCGATCGTCAGACAAATAATTATATATATTTATTTATATACACACATTTTTATATATATATATATATATATATATATATATACACACACACACACACACACACATATATATATATATAAATATATATTAAAAAGAAGAGAAACCGCAAATGTCTTTTTTTTTTCTTTTTTTTTTTTCGTAATGTGGCTTTTTAAAAAATATTGTGTTTTATGTTCCATAATTTTGCTACATGGGTTTCCGGTTTCGTGACCGTCATCAAAGGGTGCAGATTTCCACATATTAAAAATAATTAATTTTCTTCTTTATGTTTTTCGATGTTAAATACTCTCATATCGAGAGTATTTAACATCAAAAAATAAAGAAAAAAACTATTTTTAATAATATGTGGAAATCTGCACCCTTTGTCTGTAGCCAAATTATGGAAAATAAATATTTTCTTAAAAATCCACATTACAACCAAAAACGTTTGCGGATTCTCTCTTCTTTTTAAATACACACTTTTCTCTCATTGGTCCTACTATAACCTCTTCCTTTTTTACATATAGATATATATGATTTTATTGAATAAATTTACTCTTTAGTATTTCAAAATACTTTTATGTAATTTTAGTAAATATATCTATTAAATTGAGATGTTAGTGTTTTCATTTTTGTGCAATTTAAATGACAATTTATCCATATGCACACACACACACACACACACACACACACACATATATATATAGTTGATCAGCAACCTTTCTTTTCAACATCTTTTGTTAAATATGACAGATAAGGATTATTTTATTAAATTTTTATTTATTTTTTCTAGTGTTCTTACAGTTATTTTGTTTGGTGTGAGTGAAGGAGTACAAAAACTCACACTACTGTCCATTGTCCCAAGCACTTTTGGCCACTTCCTTAGCCATTTTCAAAGGGGTTTTGTTTTGGGGGCGTTAGTTTCACTTCATGTTTTCACTGTTTGAAATGTGCTTTTTGTAATATTAGTAGGAGCTTTTATTCCGATCATTCATGTGTTGAGCATGGCTGCAATTTAAAGCAAGACAAATTTGCTGTAGGAAAAAATTATCAAACACCATATTTCTGTTGTAATTCCCCCAAAACCTGTAAAACTTGTATTACAGAAATGGAAAGCTGCAAACCTTGTCTCTTTATCAAAATAAACCCCATCAAATCTAAACTAGTGATAACCAATATAGTGTATTAATTTCGCTTCCCGGTATATAAATCAATTACCTATATCGGACATACTACTACCCCCTTGAGTAGGTGCCTCACATGTCACTTATCAAAGCAAAGTGTTATAAAAAAATGGCTATCTACCAAAATTCTTGTCAAAAACATTAAAATTCTATATAAATCAAATTACTGAAAATTTTCTCATCTATAAGAAAAGTCCTGTGCATTAAGCACCTCTCTCCCACTGTCAATCTCACCTTATTTAACAATAGGAGTGGCATACTGAAAGTTTTTTTTTTTTTTTTAAAAATAGAAAGAC